CAAAAGATCCAGTTCACCGTTCATCCACTCGACCGCCGAGATGACGGCACACAAGGAGCAGACGTCTAGAGGCCTGATGCTCAACGAGAGGTCTCTGGCCGTTGAGGGAACCGGCTCTTCTACAGCATTGCTCACCATCATGAGTCTGACTCGGCTGGCGAGTCTTCTCTCCATCGGCATTTCGGCTCCGGATGAGCTGGCCGGACATTCACATGCCGACCTCTCGTCGTGCGCCCCACACTCCAGACTTGACGATCAAGCCGGGCAAATTTCGCCCAGTACAGTGGTGACAGTGCAGCCGCTTGTCTCAGTGCCAGAGCCGAGTGTCGAGCTGTTGGAACAGTTGGAAGAGACCGCCAGAAAATGCTTGGCTGAGGCCGGCCAGGAGGAGGGTGTGGTGAACGTTCCCTTGAACGTGGTCTTGAGCACGTTCAATCCCTCTTTGATGCAAGGTAGTGAGGGGCGTCGCCTGCCCTTAATGCAAAAACTAAACAGTATCAATATTTTTACAATTAGATTTCGAGACTACTTACAGCTTTGATATAGGTATGAATGGTGTAATTAATTAATTAATTAATTTGGCAATTGAAGTTAATTTCTATGACTAAAGGATCTACTTTGAATGGGTAGATTTACATGTTGGCAACATTTATTCCATTTGCCTCAGTGCGTACCAGTCTTGAATGGCTTTTCTAATTTACCTATTTCGAAGTTGCCGCTGATAAAATGACAATAAGTGTGTTTTGTTTAATTGAATTTCACTTTATACTTCATCCCAAAATGGTGAGCTCATTAGCAAACCGGCTGAAATCGAAGCGTGGACCACAGCCCCTAGGAGAAGAATACAAATAAAATATCAGTCGAAACAATAATAACTATTCACCATACTTCGTTGAAAGTGATGAAGGACTGGTAGTTGAATTTTTCCACAATTATATGGGTAGAGCTCGTGTCACCATTGAATTTCACATAGCTCTGCTTTCCTCAAAGGTGTTCTCAACCAGGGTGGACTGTAGTTTCGACCTCGCCCGGTCTTATCAACATCCCTAGCGGGATTCGAACCGTGATAGTGCAGCGTTTCATTTCGCCAAATTGTCACAAGAGCCCTTAGGTCACGAGGTAGATGTGAATTTCAAGGAAGGCCAGGAATTTTACAATATCATATTCTTTTGGTGAGATTATCTATGAAGTGAAGATTGCTTGCTAGTACAATCGATTACATTACTTATTTTTCTTTTCTAAGTAGAATTTCGAGAATATCAGTGCATCAGTTATGTAAGATGTATTTACTCTATTTCGTTTAAGAGGATGAAAAAGGGTTATAACATCTCATCTAACTGATTTAATGGCAGTCTTGACACTCTACTTATATATGAAGAAAAGTTGGGTTTCGAGGAATCTCTTGTGTCATAATTGTTGGG